GGGGAAACACATTTCTACTCTAAAGAAAAATCTTCATTTTCAACCTCTTAACCCTTCTATTATAATTCCCCAAAAATCTCCATTTCTCACATTTTCTTACATTTTCCAACCATACAAACTATTTCCCAAACTAAATTGAACCAGTTAGGTCCAGCCTGGTAATGGAGCGAGAGAGGGCTAGGGTTAGAGATAGGTTTCTGATAGCCAGGGACAACGGCAGTGGTTTCCGGCGGCGGCGGCTCCCAGGATACGGTAAGCACTTCATTGGACAGGCAACGACATACTTTTTCTATGATTTTCCAGCGATGCATTCTGTGAAGGATCTGTGGTATAGGTTTTGGTCTTTTGGAAAAGTGGGCGATGTTTATATTCCAGAAAGGAGAGATCGGAGAGGGCGGCGTTTTGGATTTGTTCGGATGGCTGAGGTTTCAGATGCCAAGGATATGGAACGAAAGTTGAATCAAATTTGGCTGGGTTCGTATCGGTTGAAGGTCAAATTGGCAGAAAACATGAAATCCGAGAGGGAAGGGATATACAGAGGAAACCAGCAAAACCAGACAACAGCGCAATGGCTCAGACGAGATAAAAAGGTGTCTCCTGGGTTAACGTATGCACAGATTGTTACTGGGAAAATTATGGCGTCTGATGAAGGGGAGGCGATGACCCAGGTGTTGGAGCAAGCAGTGGTGCAAAAAGTGCCAGAGAAGAAAGTTGCAGGGTTAGAACAAACGGGTGCATTGTCGAAAGAGTGGGCAGTGATACCAGTGTCAATACCTGTTCAAGCTTCAACGTCAACAGAGAGTGATGCTAACGCAAAGACTTATGTGCCGAAGGAGCTGGTTCTGCAGTTTTCTCCCAGGGAGAATGAGATCGCATGGTTGAAGCAAAGTAGAGTGGCATTGGTTCGGTCTTTGGATTTAGTGATGAAAATTCAAAATAGGCTGGATGTGGATGGTGTAATGGTGAACGTAGCTCTGCTAGGGGGTAGACATGTGCTGTTAATGGATAATACGGAGGGTTGCTTAGAGGAGTTTATTGATAAAAACAAGGAGTTGGTGGAGTTTTGGTTTGAATGGATTCAGCCAACCTCATTATATACTATGCCATCGAGAAATAGGTTGGTGTGGCTTCGTTTTAATGGTGTTCCATTGAGAGCATGGAGTGAGCGATGTTTCTCGGAATTAGTAGGTTTAATTGGTGAAGTTATACTTGTTGATGATGATACAAAATTTAAATCATTTTTGAGTGAAGGTCGGGTCTTGGTGTTGTGTGATGACTCCATGAAAATAGCGCAGACAATCAATCTAATGGTGGATGGAGAGTCTTTTCTGATCAAGGTTTTAGAGGAGGAGTGGCGTATGGATCCGGACAGGTGGCTGGCCAGTGAACGGAGGAGCTCCGGCACGGGTTTGGACGTGTCCGACATGGAGTCCGAGAATTCAGAGGACCGTTACAGTGAAGGTGATGATAGAGCAGTAATGGTCGAAGATTGTGCAGAAACGGAAGCAGAATCCAAGCTGAGTTTAAAACAGAATTGTGTTAAAAATTTTGAATTAGATGGGCCAGAGCTGGATGGGCTGAGTAATGTGGGCTCGGTTGGGCCAAGGGAGTGTGAGGCGGAGGAGCTGGGTGTAGCAAATGGGTCTCGTGAGGGGCTTCGGCCTGCTGGAGTGCAACAGAAGGGAGCTGCTGTGTTGGTTAAAAAATGTAAGAAATTGGGGGACATTTACGCAGGGGATGGGGTTGCGGAGGAAACGAGGGAAATGGGGATGCAGTGGGTGACGGCAAGAACCAGATGGAGGAAGGAAAGAAGGGAAACAGTAAGACAATTGGAGCATGGAACGGAATCACAGAACACTGAGTTTTCTTTGTCTGATGGCTGCATCCAAAATCGCAATGCTCTGATTCGGCAGCAATTGGAGTTGGATGAGGGGATGAGGTAAGAAGGCTATTTGGGTTGGGGAAACGATTGGGGATTCAATGTCAGAATAATGAGGAAGAGGTGATTTCAAGATTGGCAGCTTTAGAAGGGCGAGATGAAGCCAATTTTAGAAGGCCCTGAAGCTCGAGTGAGGAGTTTTGTTGAAATCAGTGAGTTGTTTTTTTTCAGTATGAAGTTTATTTCTTTTAATGTTAGGGGTTTGGGTAATGGATTGAAAAGGAGGGAAATTCTTAAGTTAGTTAAGAAGGAGAATCCAGATTTTTTGTGTCTTCAAGAAACTAAGTTGGAAGTGGTCGAGGAGTCTTTGTGTCGGGCATTGTGGTATTCAGAAAATTTTGATTGGGTTATGCAGAAATCAATGGGTAACTCAGGGGGCTTGTTGTGCATTTGGAACAAGAGCTGTTTTATTAAAAAATGTGTGATAGAAGGGAGCGGTTTCATTGGGGTTTTTGGTGAATGGGGTAAGGAGAGGAAAAAATGTAATTTAATCAATGTGTATGCTCCTTGTGATAGGCAGGGGAAGGTCTTGTTGTGGGAGGAGGCTTGCTGGGCGAGTTTTAGAAGAGGGTGGGTGTTGGCTGTTTGCTGGAGATTTTAATGCTGTCCGGAATGTATCAGAACGAAAGGGTAGAATGAGGGAGACGCAGGATATGCAAGATTTTAATCACTTTGTGGAAAGCACGGGGTTAATTGATGTTTGCCTGCGAAATAGAAAGTTTACATGGTATAGACCGGATGGATCATCCATGAGTAGACTTGACAGATTTTTGATGTCTACAGAAATGAGTTTATTGGCCACGGATTGGGTTCAAGAAGGTGTGGCAAGGTCAGTCTTTGATCATTGTGCAATAATCCTGAAGGCAAGGAATACAGATTGGGGTCCAAAGCCTTTTCGGGTAATGGATGTGTGGCAACAACATCCAGATTTCAAAAGTTTTGTAGACGATAAGTGGAAAGCCATGCAAGTTGAAGGGTGGGCGGCTTATAAATGCAAGCAGAAGCTGAAGTTAATGAAGGATGAGTGTAAAAGGTGGAATAAAGAAGTTTTTGGTAATGTGGAGAGTCGATGGGGGATATTATCCAAGGAAATTGAAGAGCTGGATATAAAAAGTGAAGAAGTTGAATTAGATGAGAATGAGGTGTTACTCCGAAGGGAGTGTTTTTAGGAGATGTGGGAAATTTTGAGGAAAAGAGAGGCCATGTGGAAGCAAAAGTCAATAAATAATTGGATTCGTCTTAGAGATGCAAATACTGCCTTTTTCCATAGATGTGTACATGCACGGAGAGCACAAAATGCAATTTCAAGTATCTTAGGAGAGGATGGGTGGGTTGAGGAGCCAAGTAGGGTGAAAGAGGAGGCAGTGAGGTATTTTAGTCAGTTGTTTCAGAATGAACAGTGGAAGCGGCCAGTGTTGGGAGGAATCCATTTCAACAGAATCTCAGCTGCACAAAGGGAGTGGTTAGAACGGCCTTTTTCAGTGGAGGAGATTGAGGAGGGTCTACAGAGCTGTGATGGGGCGAAGGCACCAGGACTAGATGGCTACAATTTCAATTTTATACAATTTGCCTGGAGTACTTTAAAAGAGGATTTTGTGAAGTTTTTGTGTGAATTCCACCAACATGGGAGGTTAGTAAAAGGTTTAAATTCCTCTTTTTTGGCTTTAATTCCTAAAAAGGCAAATCCAGTGCATTTTAAGGAGTATAGACCCATTAGCTCGATTGGTTGTTTATACAAACTACTGGCAAAAATACTGGCGAATCGTTTAAAATTGGTGATGACAGATATTATTAGTGATTCACAGTCAGCTTTTGTCGGAGGTCGGCAATTGGTAGATAGTGTGCTAATCTTGAATGAGGTGGTAGATGAGGTGAAACAGAGAAAACAAGAGAGTTTTATCTTTAAGGCGGATTTTGAGAAAGCATATGATTGTGTGGATTGGAACTTTCTGGATTGGATGATGGAACAAATGGGGTTTGGAGTTATGTGGAGAAAATGGATTCAGGAATGTCTTTCGACGACTCGGATTTCTATTTTAATAAATGGAAGTCCGACAAAGGAGTTCTTGGTTGGCAAGGGTCTTTGTCAAGGTGATCCATTGTCCCCATTTTTGTTTTTGTTAGTAGGTGAAGGGTTGTGTGGTATGGTTCGAAAGGCAGAGGCAGAAGGGCTTTTCAGAGGAGTCAAGATTGGAGAGGGTGGTATGGTCGTGTCTTTATTACAATTTGCGGATGATACTGTTTTTATGGGAAAGGCAGAGGTAGAAAATTTAAGGACAGTGAAGGCTATTCTACACTAGTTCGAATTAATTTCGGGATTGAAGATCAATTTTTGCAAGAGCCATTTGTATGGGTTTAATGTTACAGAAGGGTGGGTAAATGGTGCAGCTGACATTTTGCATTGCAAGATAGGAACGATGCCCTTTATTTACCTTGGGTTACCGGTTGGAGGAATTTCAGGGAGGAAAAAGTTTTGGGTTTCTATATTGGATCGCTTTCGGAATAAGCTTGCCGCCTGGAAACGTTCACTACTGTCCTTTGGAGGTCGAATTACCTTGCTCAACTCGATACTTTCTGCTCTTCCTATTTTTTACTTGTCCTTATTTAAAATTCCAAATTGTGTTCTTGGTGAGATGGTTAAGATTCAGAGGGATTTCTTTTGGGGTGGAACAAATTTGGAGAGGAAAATTGCTTGGGTAAGGTGGGATCATATTTGTGTTGATAAGGAGAGAGGGGGATTAGGAGTGGATGAGTTAAAGAGGAGAAACTGGGCTTTATTGGGTAAGTGGTGGTTTAGGTTAGGTGATGGGGTAGGGGGATTATGGAAGAGGGTGATTTGGGAGAAGTATTACGGGGGTCGACAGAAGGGTGATATTACTTTTTTCAGTTCCTTGCGTATGTCTCGAGTGTGGAAGGACATTGTGGGTGTTGGTAATGGGTCGAAGAGGTTGAGTTTAATGCTAGGAAAAGGCTTTCAATGGGAGATTGGGGATGGAAGTCGAGTGGCTTTTTGGGATGCTAAGTGGGGTGGTGATAAACCTTTAAAGGATTTATTTCCGAGGTTGTATGCGTTATCATTGAACAAGGAGGGGATGTTGAAGGATATGGGTTTTTGGAGGGAGGGCACATGGGTATGGGACTGTAAATGGCGACGAAGCTATTCGGGGAGGGTTGGTGAGGAGGAAGAAAGGTTTAGGGAGATTATCAATAGGATCACGGTAAAGGAGAATAAAGAGGATTCATGGAGATGGGCTCATAGTACTGCTGGGGTTTATTCTGTTAAGGAGGCATATGCTTTTTTAGCTCCTAAGGATGATCTTTTGGCTAAGAAATGGGTGAGAATCATTTGGTGTAAGTTTGCTCCATCGAAAGTGAGTGTTTTTGGGTGGCGGTTATTTTTGGATAGGTTGGCAACTAAGGATAACCTATTTAAGAAAGGGATTGCACGGCTAGGGGGGGGGGATGTGAGTTGTGGAGTATGTGGGGAGGGCATAGATCAAGTAAATCATATTTTTTGTGAGTGTAAAGGAGCATGGTTAGTGTGGATGGAGGTGTTGCGATGGTGGGGATTACAGGGGGTTCTGTCGAACGACATTTTCGATTTGGCAGAGTTCGTGACGCATGGTATTAGTGGAGGTCGTTTGGCGGATTTAGGGGCTTTCATTTTTCTGATTGTTGCTTGGTTTATTTGGTTCAGGAGGAATATGCAGGTGTTTGATACAAAGTTGATGTCTGCGGAGTTAGTTTTGGAGTATATACAACATAAATCATTCTTATGGCTTAAAAATTAAGAGAAAGGGAGTGTTTTTTCTTATCAAGAATGGGTCTCTAGTCCAATGGAATGCAGGGAGGCCATTATCCAGCATCGTGGTAATCAGAAACTGTATCACATGCGGCAGCGAGATGTGGGATGAGTTTCCTGTACGTAAGTGTTGCTGCTTCTTGTGTTAAATCGTCAACTCCTAGATGCTGGTTCCGGGCTTCATGTGTGATTTCCTGTGATTTCTTT